CACTGCACCGCTACCTGGGAGCCGCCCGAGCCCCACTGCACCGCTACCTGGGAGCCGCCCGAGCCCCACTGCACCGCTAACTGGGAGCCTGCCTGAGCCCCACTGCACCGTTCACTGGGAGCCGCCCGAGCCCCACTGCACCGCTAACTGGGAGCCGCCCGAGCCCCACTGCGCCGTTCACTGGGAGCCGCCCGAGCCCCACTGCGCCGCTAACTGGGAGCCGCCCGAGCCCCACTGCACCGCTAACTGGGAGCCGCCTGAGATAGGTGCCGCCCAGCTGAAGCCTGTGTCGCTATCCCCCTCCCACACCCCAAACCCCCTCCCACTCCCTAACTCCCTCCCAGAGCCCACACCCTTAGCCCCCTCCTGGAGCCTGCACCCGTACCCCCTCCCATCCCCCAACCCTCTGCCCCAGCCCTGAGCCCCCTACTGCACCCCAAACCCCTCATCCCCGGCCCCACCCCAGAGCCTATACCCCAGCTGGAGCCCACACCCCAATCCCCTACCCCAGCCCTCAACCTGCTCCTGCACTCTGAACCCCTTGGCCCCAGTCCAGAGCCCCCTCCTGCACCCCAAGCCCCTCATCGCAGGCCGCACCCCCAGCCAGAGCCCTCACCCCACCCCACACCCAACTCCCTGCCCCAGCCCAGAGCCCCCTCTTGCACCCTGAACCTCTAATTTCTTGGAGTTTGTTTGTAAACAGAGGCAGGTGATTACGCGAACAAAAGGCTTGTCATTCAATTAAATTAAGGATGGTTAGATGACCCTGAAAGCATTGCAGGCACTTCAGTTAAAAGAGAGGAAACAAAGGGTAGGAATGAATGGTGAGAAGTAAATGGGGTCCCCCAGGGATCTGTACTGGGCCCAATCCTATTCAACATATTAATAAATGATCTGGCGAAAGGGGTAAACAGTGAGGTGGCAAAGTTTGCAGATGATACTAAACTGCTCAAGATAGTTAAGACCAAAGCAGACTGTGAAGAACTTCAAAAAGATCTCACAAAACTAAGTGATTGGGCAACAAAATGTCAAATGAAATTTAATGTGGATAAATGTAAAGTGATGCACATTGGAAAAAATAACCCCAGCTATACATACAATATGAGGGGGGCTAATTTAGCTACAACAAATCAGGAAAGAGATCTTGGAGTCATCGTGGATAGTTCTCTGAAGACGTCCACGCAGTGTGCAGAGGCGGTCAAAAAAGCAAACAGGATGTTAGGAATCATTAAAAAGGATAGAGAATAAGAAGGAAAATATCTTATTGCTCTTGTATAAATCCATGGTACACCCACATCTTGAATACTGCGTACAGATGTGGTCGTCTCATCTCAAAAAAGATATACTGGCATTAGAAAAGGTTCATAGAAGGGCAACTAAAATGATTAGGGGTTTGGAACGGGTCCCATATGAGAAGAATTAAAGAGGCTAGGACTTTTCAGCTTGGAAAAGAGGCGACTAAGGGGGGATATGATAGCGGTCTATAAAATCATGAGTGATGTGGAGAAAGTGAATAAGGAAAAGTTATTTACTTGTTCCCATAATACGAGAACTAGGGGGGAACCAAATGAAATTAATGGGCAGCAGGTTTAAAACAAATAAAAGGAAGTTCTTCACACAGCGCACAGTCAACCTGTGGAACTCCTTGCCTGAGGAGGTTGTGAAGGCTAGGACTATAACAGGGTTTAAAAGCGAACTAGCTAAATTCATGGAGGTTAAGTCCATTAATGGCTATTAGCCAGGATGGGTAAGGAATGGTGTCCCTAGCCTCGGTTTGTCAGAGGGTGGAGATGGACGGCAGGAGAGAGATCACTTGATCATTGCCTGTTAGGTTCACTCTCTCTGGGGCACCTGGCATTGGCCACTGTTGGCAGACCGGATACTGGGCTGGATGGCCGTTCGTATGTTCTTACGCTGGCTCCAGGATGACAGGGTGAGAAAGGGCTCTGGGGATGGAGGACGGGAGAATCCAAAATCACTGTGACACTCCACCCCATGCAGCCCCCTCCACCTGCACACATGCCACCCATTCTCTGCCTGTGCGGGCCCCCTAGGACTCGATTCCCCCCACCCCCCACACAGCCGAGTTAGCTGCCCTGCTCACAGCAGCCTGATCCAGCATGTTCCCGCGCCCCGCACACAAAGCTGCTCCTGTGTGCAGAGAGCGCAGAAACCATCCCACAGAGGTCTCCTTATATAACACAGAGCACATTGCTGCAGGCCAGCCAGGTGCCCACGGTGGGCAGGCTTGGCCAGCGCGCCTGCCAAGGACAGGGCATCTCCTCCAGCGTGTAGCAGAGTTTAGTTACTGACAGGGAGCGGCCTGGCTCCAGGAAGAGATGCGCTGCTGACAGACACACAGACCATTACGCAGCTACCGGCGCCTTTCCTTCACATCCCTGGCACAAGACAAGCCTGGCCCATTTCTAGTCAGTTTCACTTCCTGCCCTGGGATTGAATTAAATCCCCCACTCCTAAAGAGAGAGCTGGAGGCAGTTGATGTGTGATGTTTAATAACAAGGCATTCAGTATTGCAGGGGGGTCTCAAACTTCACTGCACTGTGACCCCCTTCTGACTACACGACCACAGGATGGGACCGAAGCCTGAGCCGGCCCGAGCCCCATGCCCCGGGTAGGGGGCCCAAGGGCTTCATCCCCAGTCAGGAGGCCTGTAACCTGAGGCTAGGTCTACATTACCCGCCTGAATCGGCGGGTAGAAATCGATCTCTCGGGGATCGAATTATCGCGTCTCGTCGGGAATGCGACAAACCGAATCGACGCTCTTACTCCACCAGCGGAGGTGGGTGTAAGCGCCGTCGACGGGGAGCCGCGGAGGTCGATTTTGCCGCCGTCCTCACAGCAGGGTAAGTTGGCTCCGATAGGTCGAATTTGCGTATCTTAAATCAACACTCCCCCCACCCCCACCCCGTAGTGAAGACCTGCCCTTAGCCCTGTCATCCCCAT